TTCTTGTGCAATTCATAAAAAATCTTTAAAGCATCTTTCTACAGTATTTATCAGCTGTTTTTTGCCTTCAAATATGTCTTCAAATATGTTATTCTCTCTATTATCTCTATAATAATCTAACTTATTTTTGCCTCCAAGATCTGTCCTCTTTATTTCATTTTCTAAAAGGTGATTCCAATGATTTGCTACTTTACAATTCTCTGCTTTGAAATAGCATTGTAGAATGTATCTTAGTTGGACTTTTAAATTGTTCATGTTTACATCAACATGAGGATGTATATAAGGCAGAGTTTTGAAGGGCATAAACCACTGGATATTCATCCTGCGCAAAAAGTATTAAACACAACATTATTGATTATAATTATAGCTATTTTTTAACAAATATTACAATCTTTAATTTAACTTTTCTCAGCATTTACTTGACTGATTTTAGATCTGTTTTGATCTATGTTTAGCCCATTTAAATTCTAATTAGCCTATACAAGAATGAAGGTTAACAGTTTGGATTTTCTACTATAAAAATTAAGTTGAAAAGTTTATGTTCCACTGTCAAATGAGCAAAAACTATACCAGATAGGATGAATTTGTTACAAAATTTAATTTAGGTTTAGTAATATCTTTCTACGTTCAAAAAATCAAGTTTCTAGCTCTAATATTAAAGGAGCTATAGGCCTATTTGTGTACATAAATCATGAAATAATTAAAGAAAATGATAAAAAATTAACCCAGACTTCTCCTAAAATGATAATTATAAATAAGATTGTTGCTTATCTTATTATTCAATCAAATTTGTAAAGAATTAATACATCTGTAGATGTTTGATCTATTTTTAAATACATTATTTTAAGTCACCTTTTTCAAAATCGAAAAATTAACTTTTCTCAGCTATTACCTAACAGAATTTAAATCTGTTTATACCTACGTTAAGCTTATTTACTTCTACAGTTATATATTTAACAATAATATTAAAATAGTATGATTTTCTATGACAAAAATTGAATATTCGATAAATTTTTGAACAGTCTATATTTTAAAGATTAACAACTTTAAGTAAGATTTGTATCAATTATTTAATTTAAGAGCAAAGACTTACAGCTATAGATAAGGAATAACTACCTAATCTTATGTATTAATCAATTAAGAGCATCCGAACATTTTGACATGTTTTCAATTAAAAAAGTTAATTTTTTTAAGAAAGAAACATTCAATATGTTAACCTAGTTTAATGTTTTTAATTAATTGGCATATTATTTAATATCCTACCCAAAGAAATATGTCAAATCTTAATGTTTTCTATGCAAAAAGCAACTTTTAAAAAACCTTTTTCAACAGCTAATAACTGAAAAACTACAAGTGTTATATTATTTCTGTAAACGGATTTGAATTTGGCATAGTCTACACTCCCAATGTTAAAAAAATCAAATCTCTATCATGTAAATTAGAGAAACTATGGTGGAAAAATGGAAAACCCATTTAGTTTAAGTTTCTAATATAAAGAGAAGGATGTTATTGTTACTTTTAATAAGAGAATTATTTCTCTGTGAAATGAAACCTTACTATAAATTAGAGCATTAACAAAGCTGTTCCCTACAAAACAAGGTCAATTCAGATTCAAAAGAAAAGGAATCAACCAGAAAACCTTATATAAAAGACATTTGATCAATTCAGGACAAAGTCCAAGGAATCAACCAAAATTCACAATAGATATCTTACTTTAAATTAGACAGAATGTTGTGTTGGAAAGATCAGACTAGAGAAGTTAGTGATGGATGATGGTGAAGAATCTTTTGAGAAGGCAACTGTAGTAAGGCAGCTGTAGAAGGCTCAACTGGGGAAGGTCAACTGTGGTAAGGCAACAGGTGGAAGGCAACCGGTAGAAGGCAACTGGATATGGTCAAAATATCTGTAAATAATTGAAAAATATTGTTAAAGAGAGTGAAAAAAAGAGGAAACACTCGTTGTTTAAAGTTTATGCATGAAAATTTTTTCGGTCCAATTCTTTTGCCAATTGCACAAGGTTAATGGGCGTAAAAAGATGATTCTAATGATATATAATATGTCTATATTTGTCCAAGTATTTCTGACTGAAAAATAAGAAAATATGATTAGCTTACCAAAGATAATTGGCAATAGCAAGGTGTTCACTCTATGGTGACGAATGAAAGACTAGAGAAGTGATAGGTATATAAAGGCAGCAGTGCTTGTTTGAAAATCAAATGTGACACAAAGGATGACAGTTCTATAAACAGTTTGGCAATTGTTAAAAGCCAAACAATTCATCCAAAATGTGCTTGTTTAAATTATCTGTCCAGAGTGGGAAAGGTCAATTAAATATATCAATTAACTTGTCACCTTTGATAAATTCGTAGCAATGTATTTAGTATTTTTTATTAAAAGATGTTAAAAGATTTTTTTCTTTGTATTCAATATTAAAAAAGTTCCATTTTTCTTTTGCTAAAAAATTGTAAAAAATGAATAGATTAATTAAGCCTTGATACTCTTTTAAACACCTTCTTTTTCATGTATATATTCACATATTAATGATATTTATTCCGTCACAACCTTTGATATAGACAACACTCCTTTATCATTTATACCATTTTTTGGTGAAAATTCTAAAGTCCTTATTTTTCATCACAATTCTATGTTATATATATCAATTTTCATTGAAATTTTCCACCGATTATGAATCTACAATCAGACTTTACAAAATATAGAAAAAAATTATTTTTTGTTTCCGCCTTTCATATGACTTCAAAGACACTTTAGTCCTATTGTTTGTGCTTTGTAGTTGCTTACTACGCTATACTTTCCTATGCCTTTGTTTATCTACCTGTCTATTGATCCAATTAGCATTCCAAACATATAAGATAAAACACAAGATAATATTCAAACAACTGTTAATTAATTCAAACAAGAATAGCCAATCAGAGAATTGAATTTAATGTTGTTTCTTATATATATATACCTGCATAAATTTCAACTTTTATTGTTATTCAAATCCTGGTTGCTATTTATTTACCCAACTTATTTTTTCCCACATTTTTTATGTCTTCAATTTTTTATTTTTTCTGTATTTCCAACTGGTAGGAGATATATATCCCCTCAACTTACTATTCTTTTAATCTCACATTTTATCTAAGCCCATATATTCTTCCTTCTATATACCTTGTTATTTTAAAAGCTTTAAACTATTAGGTATTTTGTATTTTTTATTTTTTATCTATAATTTTACCCCACAAGAATCTTTATCAACAAACAAATAAATCAAAAATCTGGAGAGAAGCTTTTTATTAAGATTCTCAAACCTCTCACTCATTCCTTTATATTAGACCCTGAAGAGTCCCTGATATACAAATTTAAGAGAGAGGGGGACAAAACCACGGTAGGTCGTGTAGGTAGGAAATAATAAAAAATTTCAGAAAAAAATTTTTTGAAAATTTTTTGAAAAAATCTTTTCTTTTGGAAATTGTTTTAAATGTCAATTTTGGTGTATTTTTTCTTTGACTGCTTCCCAAAAACAATTGGGACTCTTGAAGTGTGAGAATTCTGTTTCTCTTTTTTGATTTAGTCAAAAAAAACCTTTTGCTAACCCTAACCTAACCCTAACCTAAGTGAGAGTGCTACTCCAAACCCTAAATTTTTTGACACTTTTTGTAAGTGGAATACATGCAGTTTTAATGTTGTGGCATGTTGTTATATGTTAAATGATTAAATGAAGATAACTATTTAATTGATTTGGGTTTGAAAATAAACAAACATTCTTTACCTGGATCCAATGAAGGTTCAATTGTTACACCAATTTTTGAAAATGTAGTATCCCCTACTGATTGACGACGATCTGTAAGTTCATCAAAGGTTGCTTTGAAAATGTGACATATCTGATTTGAAGTTACAATACTAATTGTACTGTAAAAAAGAAATGATAAAATTATAAGACATTTATTATATTTTATAACTAACTTGCAATCACTGAGCATGCTACAAAGTTTTTTGCAGTCAGCTTCACCTGTATTAAAAACTGTATGATAAGTAAATCCGCCAAGCTGATCAGGATAACTTGTATAGGTAACTTTAAAGAAGGGGAAGGAGACAGACAAAAACAAAGAAATGTTATTAATATATTTATGTACTTTGCTTTTATTGCATTTAGTTATTTACTTGTGTCTCCAAATTGTGGAGTATCTGAAAAAGAAATTATTTATACTTTTATTTTACAAAAAAATCTAACACTTTTTAATTACCACAAACATCTGGTTTTTCATAATAATCATAACCAATGACTTGAGGTAACTGACTTCCTCCTAATCCTGCATGGTCAGTTGAAAGATAACATTTGTTGTTATCCTGTTTATCAACATAGAAACTCCTAAAGTGGAAAAAATGTGTAGATTTTACTCTCCCTCTCTCTCTTTCTATAAACATACTTGCAAAGTTCAAGATAATAGCATAACTTTTTACAATAGTCTACTCCTCTATCATCTATATTATAAATAACAACATATGTGCTTGTTGCTAACTGTTTATCTTCTTGATGAAAGAAATCGCAAACTGTATATTAATAAAAGATAAGGAGAAATATGAATAAATATAAAAATCATAATTTTTACTTGCGCAATCATTATTTCTTATTGTCAAAAGAAATATTGTTATTAATTGAAAAATTAAAATATTCATTATTTTTTTGGAAAATCTAAAGCATATTTGAGATGTATAAGAAAACATTATGTGGTTATATAGGAAATATTTCTATGAATTATTAATATAAAAGTTCAAAATTTTGTTTAGAAAGATTAATAATCAATCTTTCGATTGAATATGTCTTCATTCAATTTATGAAAAATTCATAGGGCTTCCTCAGTTCATTTTTTGTTCCTTATTTCTAAAATGTCAGAAATATAAAAAACATTCTTTCAACAGGAATACATATGGAATATTAATCAATGAGTGTTTCTTTTCTTTGTTCTCTTGTATTGATTTAAACACAGCAAGTAGAATATATGGTATTTTTGGGTTGAGATAAAAAGCATTCACTTAAGATCAGAAAACACTCTCAAAACATACAGCATTCTTAATTATTAATATTTAATAATAATGAATTGCTTCAGTTAACAAGTTAAACATCAGAATATAGAGAGAAACCATAAAGGAAATGGCAGGAAAAATTTGACACAGTAAATTTTGCAAGACCAACTTTCAATAAACAGTCAAAATTGGTTGTCCCCTTTAAAGTAGTTTGTTTAAAGTTTTATAGAAAATAGTCATCAATTAATTACAGAATATAATTGAGATATCATAGTACATGTCTACAACATTGGTTATATTTAACATGCTTGAACTCTATTATTTTATGCAACTTATACATGTACATCTTAAAAATCTATGCAAGAAAATGCTATAACATTGGCCAAAGAGAGGTTTCATTAGTCAGCTTTAAGGCTCATCTTTAATTACCAATAAAGGTTTGGTCAAGTTATAATTTAATTAACTTGCCTAGGGTGTGGCCTAACCCTAACCCCAAGTCCTAACCTAACTCTGCTATTGAACTCTCATATTGTTACTTGCTTAAGTATTATTATTTTGAATAAACCCTTTTAATTTAAACATTTGTTTAAAGGTTCGAGTAGAACCAGTATTGTTATAACTTTCAAGCGCATAGATTTTGCCAAGCAAGAGCAGTACAATAGTTATAAAATAGAAGGATATTGGGAAATTAAGGGTGATGGCAAGAGTTTTGGGAATGCATGGAAAAAGAGTTTGGGCACATACAAAGATAAAAAAATTATACTTGATTTATCAGTGTTGATTCATTACAACTAACACAACTCAAAAATCCTAACCAAAAACACAAGAAGGAAATAAAGATTTTAATACTTGATATATTCCTATCTATAGACTTAAAGTTTTGCATGCAAGTTCAGTATTTATTCATTAATAAATACAAAGGGATAATATCTACTGTTGCCTTATTACCTGACCAGAATGATTTATGAAAAATCATTATACAATTTCAAGAGCCATAAATTTTTATTTTGGAAATATGATACAAAACATGCTCAACACATTGGAGAAAAAATCAACATATCTTATATCTGTCATCAATAACTTATTACTTGCCTTTTCAATTGTTAACAATCAATGGAAGGAAAAGTAAAATATTTACTCAATTGAAAAACTAATTCTAGTCAAATTCTACCATTTTTTACTATACAAAAGATTTTTACCAAAGCTTAGATTTACTTGGTCAAAGGATTTGTACTTTGTTGTATTATAATTGTAGGAATTTCTGCTTCTTCAGAGCAGTACTCATCCTTTCCAATCATTTATCAATGCACCAAAGTACTCAAACAAATAGAACTTTTCAAGTTCATCCACAAATAGTCTTAATAAATGTAATTTCGGTAGAAATAATTCAACAAAATACCAGTATTTCATTTAAAGAATATCTATTGAGTAAATGAGTTTCTAGTTCTAAACAAATAAGTTTAAACAATCAGTTAACAGTTAAGAACTGAACTGCCAAATTGGAGAAATGTATTTTCTTTTATACATTTCCCAAAGCTTGGGTTCAATTTATCAAAAGATTGCATATGTCACAAAAACATAATCCCTAAACAAAGGCTATATAGTCAGCACATGTTGCCACATAACACATCTGTCCCATTAACATCTGATAATAGTTAAGAAAAACAACTTTGACACATTTCTTTTTAAAGTGCTAAAGTTAACTCTACAAAATAAAAGTCTTTCAAAAGTTCCACCATTATAATTCATACAAAATAGTAGTATTTCTATAGTTGCACCATTCTAATTCCTATAAAATAGAAGTCTTTCTAAGGTACCCTAATATCTAAAGTCTAAGCATTCATATATCATTATATCTTAGTGCACAGGATTACAAAGTTGAAATGTAACAGTCTCATAATGCACATATAACAAAAACAAAAAAAACTATTACATCACTTATGGCTAACATGTGGCAGTGCAAAAACAAGCCTGCCTGTTCCTCATCTGTTTTTGAATAAGATGTAACAAGTTTGATATGCATTTTATCTATATTGTTTGTTAATTCCATAATGGCACCATCTGTTATGGTCAAAGAATCTATTTCCTGCAAAATAAAGGTGTTTCTAAAGTTCTAGAATCTAATTCTACTAATTAAAAGTCTTTCTAAAGCTCCACAATTATAATTTGTATGACATAAAAGTGATTCTATAATTCCCCCATTATAATTGCTACAAAATAAAAGCCTTTCTAAAATTCTATAATATCTAAAGTCTAAATATCACAGAGTGTACGACTTTTAATCAATAATAGACCCAGAAAGCATCAAGAAAGCAAAAACACACCCTTGGTAATATGATACAGATATCATAACTCATACTGTGAAAGTCTACAGAAAGTGAAAAATTAAATATGAATGATTTTGGAACTATAATAAAGAAAGGAGTTAAAAATTTAAATATTAATCCTCGTTTTTTCAAAAAAATTTTTGTATAATCAAAGAAGTTATTTTCAATTGTTCATGACTAGTAACAAATACATTTTAAATATTCAAATTCTCACCTATTCCTTCCTGCTCATTATTAACACACCAAAGTACTGGTCCTAATAGAACCTAAAGTTTGTCCACAAGTATTAGCAAGTAAATGATATTTGTCCAAAGATTTGTATTTTACCAAATAAGATAGGTATTGACTATTCTGAGCCTTTATCTCTAAAATAAACATTTCATTGCAAATTAAATACAACATGTAAAAATTGACAAGATTGTCTGTCTAGAGAGATTTTCTCTTACCAGTTTATATTTTCTTTCAAATAGATTTACAATCTAGATTGAAAGTTTGAAATATGATAAGCTATTTTGAAAGTAAAGGTTATTTGATATGTTACACAACAATAAATGGTGTCTGGTATCTAATCTAGATTTTGGAATGCATCATGCTAATGTTTGTTCCTAACATTCAACTGATTTTATTCTTTGTGTTTTCTAATTGATTTTCTCTCTTTTATAGTTATTTTGTAAGAAATTCGGATTTAAAAATGTTTTGCTATAAACTATACCTAGATCCTAATTCTTGTATTATGTCTGTTTAAAGCTCCTTTGAGCAGTTTTCTCTATCCACATTTTTGTTAGTATTCCCAGTTACTTTTATGAGTCACATGGTTGCTTTGCAACCAGACTAAATGAATGATTGATTTTTAACATTAAATTTTTTTATTAGTCTCTGCAATAACATTTTGCATGGATTGTTCTACCTACTTAAGTTTGGACAGCTGTTTCAACTATATGTTTCCAAGTATGTCACATACTTCATTTGATGGAATTTTTTTAAAGTATTTTATTAATGATCCTTATTTTTTCCAACAATCTATAAATTATAGGCTTACTTAAAAACCAATTCAGACTGACAGACCACTTGGTGTTACATCTCACTAAAAGCTTATATGGTTAAGATTAGTGTTGCTATTAGAAGCAGTTACACTAAAGAAAGGTTTGAGTGTTTTATGGCAGGGTTAGGTTAACTAACCTAAATACCATGGTCTATTTTCAATCCATGTATGGCTACATCTTTTATAATTTTTATATACAGGGTTAAATTCCCCATTAACAGCAAATGACCTAAACTAGTTGGCCATAAACCAGATATATATTTGTAGGTTGTTTATATACAAGTTTACATTTGTGAATCCAGTTGAATAAATCCAACTGAAAAGTAGAAAAAAATCCAAACTATTTTAAGTAAGAAGACTTCAAAATGGCTACTGAGCAATGGAGAAGAATATAAATAAAGGCAAAATGTTTTTGACCACTTTGTAAAATGTGTAACAAATATTTTTCAAACATGAACAACTATTACATAGCATTATGTAAAACGTACAATTTTCTTTGATGAGCATCTTTTGATTCTTTCCAATTCATTGTGGCTCGTCTGTTATAGTCAAATTATTCTTATTTAATTGTAATTTGCTGCTTTTAAATGAATCACTAAGCTCAAATATCTGACAAACAGAGAAAGTTTTAATTTAAGAATTGAAGTACGGAACATAGAAAGATGAACAGAACAGAATTCTGTAATCCATTAGTGAAGATGATGCGAATTTTCTGTATTACACTGTTTGATATTTGTTAAATAAATACATAATTTCTAAGTAGAATTCAATTGTTATTTACAGAATTTTCACAGATACTCTTCATTTTCTTGTACAGTTTCATTAGAAGGTCTACAAGATTCTGGAATGTTATACGTGCAA